CTCCATCTTGAAATGTTGGTAAACAATAAAATTGTTCAGTTCTTTCAGGTTGATAACTGGTCGAAAGTCCCCTGACTGTTTTCGGACCAGAAATATGTTGCTTATGAATCTTTGTGGAGACCGAGAACGTTCTATAGCGCTCTTGGCGACAAGATCGTTCAGCGCGGCCTCTAAGGTCGCATTGTCCTCTTGAGACATGTGCAGAGGTGGAGGGGGAGACTCCTGTATAGGGTCGTTTGCAAAATCTATATGGAAACCAGATACAGTTTGAAGGATCCATGGATCCTGAGTTAAAAGTGACCACTGTGGGAAAAAAAGCGTTAACCGACCTGCAATAGGAACTTGAGAATAAGGAAAGTCTATTACCTGAAGCAGTGCGGCCCCGGAGGGAAGCATATCCACGTCCTCTGATGGAACGTCTAGAGGGAAAAAACTGCTTGTGGTAGAAACGGGTATTGCCCGAATTCCATGAGTCTGCTGGTTGAGGCCTGTAGCCCGTGAAGGCAGCTCTGCCAGTCGTTCGGCCTCTATAGCAACCAGCTCTACCGGAAAAACGCTGGGGTCTGAACACCCTGCGAAGGTTCCATTGTGCCTTGTTAAGGGAAGTAAACACGGATACGTGTTTATTCAGGTCTCGTATGAACCTGTCCCCAAATAATAAACCGTTAGCCTCTGGACCAAGTTCTTTGGTGCCTAGTTCTGCCAATTTGGCATCAATTTTATATAATACGGCTTTACGCCGTTCAACGGACATTGCCACATTGGCGTTGCCTAACAGGCATAACGCTCTTTGTGCCCATTCACGCACCATGTGCGCATCAAAATTGCCTCCTGCCAGCGTCTCATAAGCAATTATGAAAATCTGGATAAGCGGGCCCGCTATATCCATCAGCTTGTCCTGGGTGGCTTTTAAGCCAACTTCGATTCCCTTGCGGGGATCCTTACCCGTCTTCGTTAGAAAAGTGACCAGGAGTGGATCAAGCTCAGGGGTGACAGCCACTTTATCAGGGATTATAGGCCGTGGACACTCTGCTCTTAATTTGGCCCTAATCTCCTTTTCTAAAGGTTTGCGAAGCCATAATCTGCAATACTTTGCAATGTGATCGGGAGGTGTCCACTCCGCTGAACGAGGGTGTCTGATACAGCGTGGGTCAAAAATTGGATGCCCTTTGGTATCCAGTAGGATATCATCTTTAGTAGAATCTAGATTAGTATTGGGCATGGGATCAGCGTCCTGAAAGGACTGATCTTGGGGTAGGAGGAAGGTTTCCGTAACAAATTCAGAAGAGGAAGGATCACGTGGAGGATCCTCATCTGAATAAGCATCGTAATCGTCCATCACTCGAAGGTGATAGTCAGAGGTTGAGCCCTTTAAGGGGTCAGCTTCTGTAGCCAAAGTGGGTTTGGTCTTAGACAATTTAGCCGTCTTCGCTGGGGCTTTGCCTTTGCCAGCAGAAGCACTGTCACCCTTCCATGGGCGCTTACGTGGGGCTTCGTCATGATCAGAGACTCTGGAATCATCAGAGTCAGATAATGGTGAGATGGTGGCATTAGTGGCTGTCTGGTCACGAAACGCTGCTAGAGCCTTGGGAATAGAGTCTGCAATTGCAGCTTGAAGCCAGGCTTTTAGTTCTGCAGACATTGCAGGTTCTGTTTGGTCAGACATGGTGACCAGTAAAAAGATAATAGTGGGTTCACCACAGAAAAAAGTATTCAAACAGGTATATTAACTATCTCTATATATATTTTAATTTTATTTATCTATTTATTTATTCCTTAGTAATATATATATATATATATATATATATATATATTTGTGTAAGGGGCAAAATAGCCGTATATGGAGTAAGGATCCAGCATAAGCTTAGGATAGTGTAAAAGGAGCAAGTCGGTTGTGGTGTGCCGATACCGACGATACGGTAGGCCTGTAAATAAAGAGGGCCCACCAAGGAGTAAGAAAGTAAAGTAAATGGAAAGAAAAGAGAAAGTGTTGAAATAAGGAGTGGGTGGGAGGGTCATTCTGATGCTGACCTCAAGCGATATGAGTCAGGTAAGGGGTGTCCCTTATATAGGGGAGTGAATTAATTTAAGCCCCTCCCACAAATACAAGCAAAACTGCCTTAATACTTGTGTAAGGGGCAAAATAGCCGTATATGGAGTAAGGATCCAGCATAAGCTTAGGATAGTGTAAAGGGAGCAAGTCGGTTGTGGTGTGCCGATACCGACGATACGGTAGGCCTGTAAATAAAGAGGGCAAAATGAATAATCAAAGATTTAATACAGTCAACAAATATATACAAATTAACCAGACATTTCCTTAAATGCATTACAGTATTTAATTCCTGAAAGGATTTTGAAGGTAGGAATCTAGGACCGAAAGTAGGCACCATTTGTTGTGGGTAGGATAGTATGTTATCTCTACTGTTGGTGCATGTTGACTCATTTCGGAATGTGGTAGAGCCAATAGGTAATGATATATGTGTTTACATACGTGGGATCGTTGAAGACAATGATCTGTCTGAGTGGTGGTGATGGTAGTGGATTCTCTGGCCTGAGAAAGGCATAAAAGGCAATGTGCATGGCTGGTAATGGCCGTCTTGGTAGTATAATTGAATGGTTGTAGATCTAATAGGTCCGATAAGGATGAACAGTTGGATGGCTATTGGTAATCTCTGAGAGGAACGTGGGGGAATGGATTCCAGAAAACCTCTGAGTATATTCTTTTCTGGTATGATAGCATGAAGTTTATGGTAGTTTTGGCCATAGGTTATCATGTGTTGTTGAATGCCTGTAAAATATATAATTAATGGTGTATGAGATAGTTTAAGGTGGCAAAAATAAGCAAAACTTAGGATAAATTTTGTGACACAGGTTGAGCTATGTCGTGTTCCAATGAGATTCTTTAAGCCAGGTGAAAAGCTGTGTTATGCGTTCCACAAGTATGGGACGAAAGTGCTAGGTGGGATAGTGCATGCAATGCTGCATGAGTATGTCTAATCCATGATTTTGTCTCTGGAACGAAAGAGTGGACGTGACTGTATGGGCAGCTGTAGGAAGCGTATGATGAACATGCCTGGAATATAAATGAGACAGTTGTCGGCAGGGATGTATACCCCGTCTGGTACATGAAAGTGAAATGTGATAAGTGGCCAACCAAGTGAGTTCCCCAGAAACATCATGAACTTATGGATGAGTAGTGGCGTTTGTTGATGATATGATATGTGCTTAGTTGTCTGAGTAACAACGGATTGATGACCCTGACCATGATTTACCCCATGCTACAGCAGCTGCTACAGTGGGGTAGATCTCCCAAAGGGGCTGAAGTGGTGGAAAAATTTCCAAACCTGGATGCCATGGCCAACAGCCCCAAAGCAATTGTTCCCGGTAGATCGCTGCCAAACCCGTGGTATACGCTGCGTCTGACCATCTGGTTGGAGAAGTGTCAGACAATCCTGGAAGGAACATGCTTTTACCATGCCAAGTGGTTAAGAAATCCCCCCCATGTGCAGGTCTGCTGTTGCTGAGGTGTCTAGGCACCTCCTCTGATC